CTTTGATCAAAACATTCAGTAATGGTAACCACTCATTCCTTCTAGTTCTTCTGTTCTCATGGCAAAGGAGTCAGTTGTTCATGGAGGCAATTAGCCCACATATCCCATTTTCTCTTCCTATTCCTGATACTTCTTTTTTCTCTGTTCCTTTGGGAGAAGAAAGACTAACTGTTTTATCTTAGATGGCTGTAAGCATTTAAGACCCATGTACTACACAATGAACTAGGAGGTAGAACAGAAGCATTAAAGATGCCAGTTAATTGAGATGTCCCATGAAACCATGACCCTAAATTTCTAAATGAAGGAACCAAATTCCAGGAAAAGTTTCATTGTACAAAACGAACCTCAGCAGCTGCTACTTTGTTGTTATTGTTGTTTTTATATCACACAACATTCAGCACCTCAGCTTTTAGTTTTAGAGTATATTCTGTGTATTCTACTCTTTTTGAAAAAGCCCTACAGATAGTTCTCAATTTACGACATATTTGAGTCACGACAAACTGTACTTAACAATTGTCAGTACACCTAGAACACTGCAACTCCTAGGAAGAAGTTACAGGAAAATTTATGCAGAGGATATGGAAAAAATTGCAGTTATATGAACACACTCCAAGCATTTGATCAGGATAATGTGATGTAAGAGATGAGTGGGAAAATCGTCCATATGGCAAGAATACTGAATTTAGAACCGGACATTGCCAGTGTGGAACAGCTCATAGATCACAGAAAGGGGAACTGACACAGAACTGATGGATTTTGAAGAGAAAAGAAATGTTGAAGAAGAAAGAAATAATGAGGAAGAGGAAGAGGAATTGTCAAAAAAAATTACAGTGAAAAGATTGGAGGAGTTTTTTCTAAAGTAAATCAGGGGCTTCAGTTGCTTGAAAACATGAACCCAAACACTGATCACTTTGCTAAAGTTGTCAGGCAGATTTGGGAAGCAGTGAGATATTACTGCAAAATACATGAAGAAAAAAAGAAAAGGACTATACAGACAAGTCCCACTCGTTTTCTAACTAAAATTGCCATCCCCATTCTCAGGGAGAATCCGGATGATCCAGAACCTCCCATAAGTAGAGTTATTACTGCAACTGACAAAATACTAATGTCATCCGACTCTTCATTGAAGTAAATTTTTGATTTATGTATTTTTATGTATGTATGTATTAAAATACATCTGTAAGTAAATATGTAATGTTTCCAAACCCCAAAGACATATAAAAATCAGATGTATAAAGATACTACTAATAAAAGGCAATAATAATTAAACAAATAATAAGTTTTAAAAACGAGGTATTCTACTTATGTCAGAACAAATTTACAACTGAGTCATTAGATTGGAACCCTGTTGAAAGTCAGGGACTACCTTTACTCAGAAGGGATTAGATTTCGAACCCTCACTATGACTTCATTAAGGAGTTCCAGTGGTGTAGTAGTTAAGATAGTTAGCTGCTGACCAGAAGGTTGGTGGTTCAAACCCATGGAAAGAAGATGAGGCAGTCTGCTTCTATAAAGATTTACAGCTTTGGAAACCAAATGCTATGGGGGTTTCTGTGAGTCAGTATCAACTCAATGGCAGTGGGTTTGGTTTTTTAATTTGATTATGACTTTATTAATATAATAATCATAACAAAGGAAAACTTCTATTTCCAAACAGGGTCATATTTACAGGCACAGGGGTTAGGACTTCTTTTTGGGGTGTCATAAGTGAATCCATAACACGAGATGTTAGAGAAAGTTTAGTTCTCAGCATCCTAGTCCCTCTACCTACTAGTTACAGGCCTTGGCCAAACCTTTCTCAGCACCATAGCATCTTCATCTGGAAAATGGGATCAGGTACACTGACTGCACTGGACTGAAATGAGGATTTAATAAGATACGTAACTTGTGAGAAATATTTCAGATAATTAGAATGTAATGTACTATTTTTCATAAGTTACATCATTTTCCTGTTGACTATCCAAAGACCCAAATGCCAAGCAGAAAATAGTCTATGAATGGTTTTGATATGGGACTCAGCTGATTTCAGGCATATGAACTCTCAGTATTTAATCCCACATTGTATGCATGATAAAATGTCTAACAAATAATGTAGAGATCTCATTTCAGGGACCTCTTTACCTGCACTCGGCTTTTCCACTGTGGGCAGTGCAGACGCCGTCATTCTCACAAGTGATGCTTGTGCAGAGGTCCTTGCTGCCTGGTGGGATCGGCTCAGTTTGTGTAGAATTAAGATGGGATATGTCTAAACAGGGTGGGGAAGAGCAGGGATGCATGTCAGCTTTTGCTTTAAGAAACATTTGATCTTTAAGTCTCAAGATAGAAAACGTTCAGGTATAAGGTATGTGAGATATTCAGGTAATCCTAGCAAGGAAACACAGTAAAACCTGCAAAAATCAGAACCTGGGTGGGGCAGAAACCTGTCAGAGAAGGAAAACTCAAATATTGTTGATAGTGAGCCATAGGAAAGTGGTAAGTTTGCACCCTGTAAAAGGTGGAAAACTTGTGAGACCTGGAAAAACAAGGCAGTCCTGTCAAGGTCCGTCTCACATAGGTTTCCTTGTAATACTAAGCAGGTTGACATCAGGATGTGAAGGGGACAGGGCTCAGCCTGCTGAAGCTACAGCTAAACCTCACACTACCTAAGCTATTAGAGTTCCCAGGGGCCCAAGTTCTTGATACCAACCCTCAAGGTACAAAGGAGGAAAACAAGCTCAGATGTAAAGCAGCTGAGGGGACTTTCCCCGAGGTCAATAGTCTTTTGCTTAAAAAGAGCTAGTTGGTGGAGATGTGGAGCAAAACACCGGGTCCTCAGACAGCCAAGCTTATGTTCTCTGCAGTGTTTTAAATTGTTTCTGGTCAAAATAGGACCAAACAGAATTGATGAACATGTGACTTTTTCTCTGCTACAAAAAAAAAAAAAAAAAATCCCTTTACAAAAGATATTCCTGAATAATGTGTTCCAAGAAGTATGGTCTAGTTTTAGTCTAGTTAGCACTGAAGGTCAACATTTCACGGATTTTAGTTATGCCACCTTTCATCGGAAATGGATAATTTACTGAGATAGTGGATCTTAAATGGTAAATGTGTCAAAACTCTACAACATAAAATAGAGAAACTATAAGAATTGCTGAAAGTGTGCTTATTGGCTGTCATGGGTAAGTAATTTTAAAAATCAGTAGACAAATGTTATTACTGCCAAGAGATATACAGGCAGTCCCCAGGTTAAAGACATCCAACTTACATACAATCCCCATAAATCCTATTACATTATAAATTTGGAGTGCATACAATGGTTTTATCAGAAGGTAGACTGGGCCATCTACTTCCGAAGAGATACCACCTCGGAAACTCAAGGAGGGGTAGCTATGAGTCGGAGTTGACTCAATGGCAGTGAGTTTTGACAATGGTTTGTAATAACAGGTGCAATTTTGCAAAGTCACAGAAACATTATTATTATTACTGAATTATGTTAAAGGTGCTTTAGAATATCTGAAAGTGTTTTTTTAATGTATTTTATACAAAGAAAAGTACACTATACAGTAAGATAAATATCTGACTGACATAACTGTTCTGATTTACATACAAATTCGACTTAAAGACAGACTCAGGGGAGATAGCTCAGAGGGCAGGAATGCATAGAAAAGAAGGACACAGAGAAAAGATAACCACAGGGAGGAAGTGGGGAAAAGAGTTGTTACATTATGGGGTTTGCAATCCATGTTATGAAACAAAATGTGTATGAATTATTGAATGGAAAACAAACTTGCTCTGTAAACTTTCACCCAAATCACAATTTAAAAAAAAAAAAAATGACTTAGAAACAGAACTTGTCCATCATCTAGGACTACCTATATTAAAAACCAAACCAGTTGCCACTGAGTCAGTCCAACTCATGGCGACCCCATCTGTGAGGAGTTGAACTGCACTGCACAGGGTTTTCAAGGCCATTGCCTTTCAGAAGCAGGTCACCAGGACTTCTTTCCAAGGTGCCTCTGGGTGGGTTTGAACTCCCAACCTTTTGGTTAGTAGTTGAGTTAGTAGTCAAGGTACATATAATATAAGTGTATTATATCAATAGAGATAGATCTTTTAAACAAACTATAAATATAAGCTATTTCCAGTTTAATTGCTTGTGCTTGTGTGACATTTGTATTACTGGAATCCTTAGAATAGAATAGCTCATTTTAAAAATTTAACTTATTTCTAAAATTTCCCAGCCGAAAAGTTGCCATCCACTGCTCTGTGTTGTGGTAATTAAATTCTTTATTCTGGGAGCCTCACTGTTTCAATTTACATTATTTTTATTTTATTAATGACTCATACTCCCCCCCAAAAAAAACTCATGCCCATTTCCTCCCACATCTCTATCTAATACACCTAAAAATGGAATGCAGATGAACACAGTGAGTAATCAATGGCCACAATAATAAAAAAAAGAATAGCTTATATAAAACTATTTTTACTGACATACCTTCCACTGTCAAAAGGATGTAAACATCATTTCCTTTTATAAAATCTCTGCTTTTCAGCCTCTCATGGGTTATAAAGGCACTGGTTCCAAAGCCCATACCTCTTCTGAACTGAGTTCCATTAGGGAAAAAAGCCACTTCTCCCACTTTGGAAGGGCTGTCCCAAAAATAGTTTCCATTATCTGAAAAAGCAATTTATATTAATGGATTGTGTTTAGCATCATCATAGCTTTCAGTGGTAGGGAAGTACATGCAATGTGAAACACAATTAGGATGGAGCTCAAATAATTAAATGATTGCTATTGATTTATCCCCTGGCAATCACTGGAGCTTGTTCATTTATATTGTCCAAAAGGAAATAAGATTGTCTGGCAGGAAGGACCACACTCTGGAATATGAGTAGAGAGGTATCAAAAGTTTCCTAGGTAGGAATATCACATCTGTACTGACTCACCTGTGTAGAAACTCTCCTGACCGTTAGAAGTGTTCTTTAGTGGCCTTCTGAGTTATAGATAGTGCTTTTTACTGAGTTAAACCAATATGT